TTACTTTTTTGTCTCATGCAGCGCACTGCCTGCGTCTGAGTAACAAATTAAAAGAAACAACAAACAAAAAAGTGCATGTGATATTAACAGACAAACTACGCTCATATTTATAATTCCAAACAAACAGTAACCAACAGGTGCTAGGAAATGCTGCTTTGAACTAATTTATTGACGAGTCGGCTGCGGTGCAGCCAACTGAATGCGCTGCTTCTCTGCCGCTCACTGCACAGAACAGACATTGAGAGAGGTGACACTTCTCCGGGAAAGTCAGACCTCACGTTCGCGGGACAGCACTGGCAAAATCTATGGGAAAAAAGCAGCTAAAAGGGTCTGAAAGTTGCTAAATCTAGTGCTAAAGTCACGCTCATGTGTGTGAGACGCGGGAGCTGATGGCAGGGGGCGGTGGATATTTGTGGCGGTCAATGTGGATATTGTGGATGAGTTCTTCTGTGTCATCACGTTCAGCTTCAGTTTCGGAACTTTCACGCTTAGTAACACATACAGCTGTTCCCTTACCATAGTGCAACAGTGAAAAGGGACCCCTTTCAAACAGTGTCGCGTTCCGAACATTGTTTAAGCGACATACCGGTATTGCGGTATTTTAAAAATTTATATCATAACAAAAATAAACACCGGTATTCGGTATGAACCGGTATACCGCGCAGCACTAAGTGTAAATATAATTATTAACTGCAGGTGAGCAGTTGTACCTGCTGTTGGGAGTTGTAGTCAAATAGGCCGACTGGAGTACCAGATGAGTCCACCTGGATCTGGTTCCCAGCATAGTCAAATTGGAGCGACTCCATGCCTGCCTGATGCTCCATGCCGCTCATGCTCTGGGCTTCCTGGTTCTGGAAGTCCTCGGTGGGAGGTTTGTTTGTGACAGGGTTGGGTGGCTGCAGAGTATGTGGGAGGTGCTGTGCCATCATTTCCAACCCGGCCTGACTGGGGCCCAACCGTTCTACTGCCTCTGTGGGGGACGCCTGGCGACTGCCTGGGGTAGGGCTGTAGAAAATAAGTTTTTAAATCAAAGCATGGATACTTCACTATCATAAAACAAAAAGAAAGCAGTGACATTCTTACAGTTTCACTAATTGCTATTCTATTAAAGGCCAAAAAAGTTTTAGCTTTAGCTTAGTTTTAGGTTTTTACTTTAGCTGGATCCATACAGGTCTAGTGTCAGCCAACAAAAAAGCCTATAAAGGTTCAGGGCATACATTTATTAGATACTTAATAGCAAGTAAGGTAACTGGTTTGTTGTTTTAAATGTCTGTCAAAATTGCTCTTCAATTTAAATTTTAAACCATTCTAAACCAATAACTTTTTTCTCTCCCAATTTTAACAACCCTTTGCGCACACATTGGCAATAGAATTGCCACTGGCTAGTGTGTGTGTGTCTACATGTATGTATGTATGTATGTATGTGTATATATATAGAGACAGACATTTAAAACAACAAACCAGTTACGCAATTGTAAGTCGCTTTGGATAAAAGCGTCTGCAAAATGACTAAATAGAATGTAAATGTTATATATATATATATATATATATATATATATATATATATATATATATATATATATATATACACACA